TGAAGGGGGGCCATATTTTTAGGCTCTGTGCTCTTGATATGTCACTGAGTGGCACGTCTTTGTTAGTGATTTCACCTAGTCTCCAGTGCTTCATCCTAAGCAACCTTCTTTCCCAATACCTGCATGATTACACCCACGGGAGGTGACAGGCGTTGCTCAGAATCCTAAAGATGACTTCAAGACAAAAGCTGTCAATATTGGCTGACCTTTTCATCAAAGTTGTGTTTCACAGCTATAAGAGGATCTGACAAAGCTAAAAACTGGGACACCGATTTATGTGGCAGACAGTTATTGCCCCAGGCCAATATTGTGAAAGTGATATTATTATTCTTAATTAATATGGATAGACTGTACTGCATGATCCATTTTTATACATAGTTCATAATGATTAGAGCGATCCTATTTTTAATTTTAACAAGCCTGTTCAAGCATCTTAAGGAATTTGCTTTCTGGTTGTTGGAGGTGTTGTGGTCCATTGATCCAAATATATATGAATGTAGTATAATAAAATAATGTCCACTTTCCCTTCCATCCATTTAGAGTATATTTTCAACCAAAGGGAGGAGGGAATTCCCAAAAGCATTTGACTAAAATGCTTCTTGTTTGTTCTTTTATAACATCGTTTGCGTCTTCCAGGAAGATCAAAAGCCCACAAAAATCAGTTTTGCTCCTCTGCTACAAGAGTAAGTAGAGATAATTAGCTGGCAATATGTATGGATGGTGTGAAGGCTTGATGATGCCTTGCTCATATAATTGGTCTCTGAGGCCCTGACGGTCCACATGTTGAAAAATTGCATAGAAATGAACACATGAAATACTGAGCTTATGTAGTCTGCGGCGATGTTAAATCAGTGACTGCTGACCACATTATGAGAACACAATGAGCAAGTTAATTTTATTATTTAAAAGTGTCAACATGATGTAGATTTAATAATATATATTAAATGTCTATTATTCATTAATTTACTTGGATTAAATGTTTGCTTATCTCATTAATGATTCACTCATTATTTCTGCTCTGAACATGCCCTAAAATAGTCTCCTCAACAACCGATTATGTATGAGATAGCTTTTACATCAACCTTTCATGTCATTCATGTCACCTTACTGTGCCATTCACCATTTGGTTATTGCTGTCTGAAATATCACCTGCTATCTGAAGTAATATTCAAAATCAATGCTGCTGTTAAAACCCACGCAGAATAGTTAATAGAACGTTGCTCTTTGAACATTGTTCTTCTTCTTAAAAGGGCTTAGGATAACCTATTGGAGACGACAAAATCAATTGTACCATACTGTATTGCAGAGGCCACTGCTGGTGGTCGTTTGACTCCAGAGACCAGAAGAATAAGCAGCCTGCATTATATAGCATTGATCTATCCAAATCAATATACTGTGGAATTAAACTATAAATCATAAATATAAGCCATAACAGTATATTTGTTCTGTGGCATGTTCCATAAGCTGAGACAGTGACTGACCAGACCTCCCCAGTGTTTATGCAAAGTCCTCAGAGTTTTGACTGGCAAGCCCAGAACGTCCCCGGGGAAAAGCAGCCATGTATCACGCTGTCTGTTTCATCATTTGTGTAACCGGCTCTCCTAATAATTGAGTAGGGGATATTTTGGGTTCACAGGTCTCTTAATTAAAGGTGCTCAGTCCTCTGACAGATGAGACCATTATCTCTGTAGGGTGTGAATGAATCTGATGTAGCTCATAATGAGTCCATTCCTCGCTTTGCGGGGAACAGATCAAAATGTGTGACAGTCTCGTGCAAAGTTGCATAATGTTCTGAAACATGCTGTTCCTCTTCCTCGCAGCTCCTGCTGCTCTAACAACCTGTAAATTATCAAGGAAACCAGTGTTTTTCTTTTTTTGTTTTGATGGACTCCTCAGCAAAAGAGCAGATGTAATGGATTTGATTTTCCAGTTCAATCAATCGGCCTTGAATTCATGTCCAAAAGCTAAAGTGACCATTAAGGTTTACAGCTTAACGCTCACTCAAGTATCTGACATTTGAGACTTGGGAATTAATAACAGAGCAATTATCCTCTGTCTGGGTCTGAGATGTTAGCAGGTTACAATTTGCTGATAGAGAATCAGTTTTGGTCACAGCATATAATTATGTAATTTTTATGAAGACTGTAGTTGTGTGTAAAATAGCTGGATTAAAGACATGGTGAGCATTAATGCAAACTGCATCTAACTGTTGCATTATAGAAGGATGTAGTCAATTTGAATCTTACATCTTGAGAAAGATTTTTTATATTATATATTATTTTTTTGGAGATGCTGCAATTATCTGCCCTTTATTCACTACCTGTACTGACATAATTAGACCTTTTAATGGCTCACTTCTATTTCTACAGTATTTCTTTTCTACAACTAATTGGGTAGTTAACTGTTGGGAGGTGGCTTCACATCTTTCCCTTTTTCGGTTTGGGAAGACTTAAAAATGAATTACATAGATACAGTACATATAAATAACTGCAGCAGAGTGAAGCACCGCCACCTTGGCTCTGATTCAACACCACACCGCCTTGTCATTTCACACTCAGCTGGAGCTCAAATCAAGGCCAATTTACAATGAAAGGGTAGCTGGAGAGAATGAAACTCTATTTATTATTCCTTCCGGCTTTTTGCAACTGGAACCATGGACCTGTCCTCCTCCTTTTTACTCCCACTCGCCTTTGAATGCTTGCAACAAAAGACTCCCATCTCTGCTCCTCCAGTAATGATTAGTCTTTGTAATTTGCCCACACATAGCCTGGACAAAAAACTCGGACATCAATCAATTTTATAGAGTGTAACCTCTGTTAACCTTTTAAAATGGAAAGCAATATGTTTTCGTGTCCATGGTATATTGTTTGTCTATAATGCTACCAGGTACTTCTGAAATAACACATATTAAGCAAATTATCATCTAGTTTATTATCACGTATGTATTCTGGCACTGGCACTGGTCTGTGCATTTGTGAATTGCCTTTTTCTGTTCACAAGCTGGTAGCAATGCATAACATTACCTTTTTGGAAACCTTTCAAAAAAACTAAACATATTTATATAGCTCGTTCTTGTAGCCCTTCACAATCTTACATTTATGTTTTCTAATCTACCCAAATAAAGTATCTTAATCTCCTTTTTTTATTCTTACATTTAGTGTTTTCCTTGTAATTTCCCATCACATCACGTTTGCCATTGGCAGTCTTATCACCGCACAATGTGATTGGGTCCGACTCCCTTAGCGAGCTCTATGAGAAAGGTGCCTTTCTGTTGATGCAGCTCTTCCTCACATTCATAACAACTTCCCTTTTCAGGGCGAGTGCAAGGCAGATCTGTGCCAGCTGTCTTTAGACATGGATGCTGTCAGGTCGTCTGTACACGAGTCCAGACTATTAGCCCTGCCCTGGGCAACGCTGAAACAATGCAGTCTGGGTAATCGACCCCTTTTAATCTGGAAAAGGAGACATGTGACTATACTGTGTAACTCAGAGAAAGACAAATCCAAAAGAAATTGTAGACCGTTTTTAATCTCCTTAATTTCCTGACAGATTGTTTGGCAGGCCACAGCACTCCCACAAACTTCTGTTTTCACCCTCTGTGAGTACACCATGTTTTTACTGAAACTGAATAAAATGAGTCTGGCATACGCTGACTGAAACTAAATTGGGGCATCATAGTGGTTTCAGAAAAATGTTCAAACTCGGGGTTGGCTTTAAAAAATAAGAGCGACTCCAGAGCAGCATTATATTGCAGTTTTCAAAAAAGTGTTTTAAATGAGAATAATGGAAAGAACTGCTTTATGATATGCTGTTATCCACAGTGCTAATGCGTAATGTAATTTTGTCCATGAAGTATAGACGTATAGAGAATCTGTTTGCAAAGCAATAAGTGATGGACTCAGGATGTTCACCTTTTCACCTATAGGTGGCGTATTCAGGTTAAGATTTGGTGACAAGCTTTTTTTCGAATTCTAGTTGGCAGGAAAACTGAACATAAATTGCCAGTGTAGGTAGTTTCTAAGAAGCCAAGCTCAGAGTATGGCTCCAGTCAGTGGGAGCAGAAATTGTGTCTTTAGAAAGTACGTTTAACTGCCACTAAAAGGTAATATAGCACAATCTAAATCTTCTGCAGCAGCCTGCTCCTTGCCTTTCCTGAACCAATGCCCTAAATTTATAATTTTTTTTACTGAAATTGATGCTTGTATATCCATCATTACCTCTATTATTATCATTCCATGAGTTGTCATTTTCGGTGTTGTACAGGCAGGTCACATAGTTTTAACTGCTGCCTTGTCTGTGTGCAGGCATGTGAAAGCAGATCAGTATGTATGTAAAAAAAAAAAAAAAAAAAACCCAAACCTAAACCTTCTCTCCCACAACAGCAACGCTTTCTGAGAAATGTGATGTGATACTGAGCTGGCACATTTCACTGCACTTCTGTGAAAGCATAAAATTCACGTTGTACAGCAGAACTGAAGCACTGAAAATTACATCCTGTCTTACAGACAATAAATCGTATTATTTCGTCAGGAAGCGAGCTCCCTTTGAGTGTTCCCCATCGACTCCTCCTATAATTGGTGAAACTGTGATATAAATCAGATAACAACCTTTCTTTGGATTTCTTCTTCTGATGCTTAATTGAGCCCAGTTGTGACTTAAAATGGGGTTATTTCATAGATTCCTTTTGCTGACACAGTTCGTCTTTTACCTTGTGTCTCACCATTTAAAATCATCCTTTTTGTGGTACAGGCTGCAAAGTGGGTCTGAACAATTCCCTCCACATGAGTAGAACAATAGAACAAAGAGAAATATAATGCAATTGTGACAAAATCGAGGTGGAAAATGTTTCTGACATTAAAGGTTATTTTTGGGGAAATTTAAGAGCCAAAAAAATCCCTCAGACAATCAACCCTTTGAGCAATTGCTGATTCTTCTTTCATTTAAAGGTAACTTCCACCAGCCTGTATTGAGAAAATTCACAATAAAACAATCTGTAGCCATTTTGCATCAAACAAAGATAACCACATTTATTTTGAAAGTATAAAATTTCACACTATAAAGGCCACTTTTCAGGGTAAATCGACAACCTTTCTGTAAGATTTACACAGAGAAATACCATGTCCCTCTCTGCTGGTCTAACACACTGTCCAGTTCTGTGGCAAAATAAAAGAATTGTTCTACTCCACCACAGAAAGTAGTTGGCAAGATCTGAATAATTTACTCGATACAGGAAAATGGCAGGAGAGTGAGAATTCCTGACTTGTACATCCCACAGAGGAGCAGGTATTCTGATTTTCTCTCTCATTATCAAACCGGCTTACAGGCACAGCTTGACGTTACAGGCACTGTTTGCCTTCTACTGGGAGACTGAAAAAAGAAATCTGCAGTTGACATTCTTTACAATGGCACCAGTCAGGCCACAAGAGCAACCCCATGGAGAGAGCATCCTCTGTCTGTACAAGCAGAACCACTTGTACTGCAGACCTCGCTGTCAGAGGCCGTTGGGCTCACTGCAGATCTGGTGAGGTGTCCAGACTTTTGAGCGTAGCGTTCACATTCCTACTCACTAACTGTGACGTGGTGCCCACTGAGGTAGAACAGTTGTACCAAAAGACTTATTTATAAAGTATACAAATGAGTAACAGTCACATCAATAAACTTAAGAGTGGAGTCGTTAGGGGGAGGGGGGAGAAAATAACGTCACATTTCACCCACATTTTCAGCACAATATGTAGACCACTGACATGTCTGGATATCTGAAATACTCCCTTCCAGCACAAACCACTCCTGCAATTCTTTCCCTTTCAGGCATAATGGCGGTTTCACAGATACTCAAACTGTATTATTGCATCTACAAGCCGGTGGGAACAATTCAGTTGTGAAATCACTAGCTCCGGTGATCTCGGCATGTGAAATCTATCCTTCCCACTCTCACACACATTATTCAAGAGTGCAAACAAAAAAACAAAGATAAGTCAACAAAAGGGAACTAAAGCAGACACTTGTCATGTCAGAGAGGGCACATTCCCATACAGAAGTCGCGTTTCCACCGCAGATACTTTCCCCAGGGACTAGGAACCTTTGGAGTAACTTGCGTTTCCACCGCAGGGACCTGGTTCTACTAAATCTTTTCGGGGGCATTATTTTACCCCTCACAAAGTCGCTGCTTGTTGGGTAGTATTTTCCAAATCTACAGGAAATTTTGGGGTGGTGCTTGCAGCACTGAACATTTCTGATTGGTCAAGTACTTGCTTGCTTGTGACACATCAAGATGGAGAAGAAAGCATACGACAGATGGACCGATGATGTACATTGTTATATTGACTAATTTGCCTAATCTTTCTGGATCTTTAAACTGCGGTGGAAACACAGACAAAGGGCTGAGGGAACTTTTTAGTTCCCTGAAAAGTAGGTCATGGGACTAAAAGTTCCAGATACTTTGGGTGGAAACACAACATGTTCGTCGACACTCCTTCCACAATAAAGAGGAATCTGTGACATCCCTTATGAAGGCTCCCGTCTCCCCTGAAGGCTGGAATGGGCTAAGCGAGCTGACTGGTTCCCGGCAGGGTGGGCAAGGCTAAGCTGGGCTGTGCGGTGCTTACAGCTGGACACCCAGCCCTCTGTGTGGACTAGGACCAGCTGCTGTCCATCAAACTGCCCGTCCCCTTGCGGGTGATGATGCTTTCTGTCGACTTAAGGAGCCTCTCTAGACAGGGCGCGTTGATTTTACTGGGCGGAGGGCCCCTGGGCACCAAGTCTGTCTTAGTGTGGCTGTCTGTGCTGGAGGACACAGCGCTGTCCTGCGTTAGGTCTCTGTCTCTGGGGGACAGCAGGTGCCTGGGGCCAGCCTGGGCCTGCTCTGCTGTAGGGGAGCAGATGGGTGAAGTGTGGAGCCACTTCAGGTTACTGGCGGAGTAGGCTCCAGGAGGAGTGAGGTCGGTGACTCTCAGGGATTTGACGCCAGCTGGAGGGTCACTGATGGTGACAGGGCTCACAGCTGCATTGGTGGTCACTGGAGATAGCTATTGGGAAAGAAAGAATATTTGTTTAGTTTATATACTTTATTTATATAGTTCATTATTCATAATTCCCAACTTTGGCGCCCCCCAGTGGTAGTATCTGACCTGGGAACACTAAGATGAATAGGCTGAAAGCAACACAAACTGCACCAATTCACATTGAGATGTTCTCTTTTTTGTGCAAATAAATAATACCCCATCAGAATAATATGAAAGATCACATTAAAAACAAAAATCACATATTTGTTTTAGTAACTGGGTGGAAGCACAACAAGCTCAAAACATGACATTTGCATATAAAAATATAAAAAAAAATAAAATGTTTTTCTGTTTTTTTATTTACGCATTCAGCAGACATTATATTATAACCAATACTTGCTCTCCCTCTGTTTTGGTCTCTCACAGCTCCCTAAAGAAACATCAAGCTCTTTAGCAACTAAATGTTCAGCTTTGTTCAGTAGCTGGTTGTTAAATTAATCTGCCTGCTGTTTGGTGCACTTCATACACTGAGTTTATCAGAGCTTTATCCCTGAAAATCAGCTTCCTGCTGTGGCTGAAAACAACACTGATGAGAGCCAAAACAATTGAAGCTGGAAAGGAAGTAAAGCTCCACTGTAGAGCTACGAACTGCAGAACTGGGTGATAAACATGTGTGCATTTGTCACTATGAGTGATCCCTTTCACACTATAAGTAGTCATTTAATCTACTGACAATATAAAAAGGTTATTATAGCAGCTGTAAAAGTTACGGTGTACCGTTATGAACAGTTCTTTGTGGTGAAATTCCGTTTATGGACGAGGGTGGGTGTCAGATTAGCCACAGAAATAAATCTTCCCCAATTAAATGGCAAAGGGAATGTTCCAGGTAGTACTCTAACCTTTCTTATTTTCCCCTTAGGGACACTCCTCCGAAATTACCTTTTCTCTCTGTCATGTTTCTTAGCGAACTGAGACTGCAGTAATACCTCAGTTAAAAAATAGCTTTAATCCTCCTCCCATTCCCAGAGCCTGGTGATTAAATAATAATTAGATATTTTAGTCCCTCTTTCACTGCGTCGTCCACCATATGTTCTTTGGCAGCCAGGCCGCTGTCTTACTCTTACACAACAGTTCAGGTCTTTCTTGTTTTTTTCTTACCTTCGGTTTCTTGGTAGGAACGGCTTCCTCTGTCTGTGACAGCGAGTTGGTCTTGGAGTTTACCATTAGGGAACCAGGCTCTTCAGATATCCTCCATTTTCAAGAATGATTATTAATATATTTCTCCCTGAAAAAATGGAAAGAAGGAGAGGAATGAGAGAAAGAAACACAGAGAGACAGAGTTATTACTCAAGCTACCAGAAATGAATCTGAGTAATCTACCAAAAAATCTTGCCAACCTTCTCTTTAAAATCTTATCTCTTCATCAAACTCTCACAGGGAAACACACAATCTTGAACAGAGTGAACATTTATTCTCACTCAGGCAAAGGCCGTTTACCTGTGTGGTGGTGGTGTGTCGGGGGGGGGTGTCTTAAGTACATTTCTCACATGTTTTGAGATCACACGGTGCCCGATTTACTATATTTCTGCTTCCCTCGTACAATATAAAACACCAAAGCCACAGCGGTCTCCAACAGCGTCATATGCTGAAAAAAAAACTAGACTGGTGGACGAGTTCTTGTTGGGAGGTTGGCAGCAGATAGGCAGTGTCCCATAACTCCCACCCGTCAGAACCAGATGGTTGGGGTAGGGATTAGCCTGTGTCATATGATCAGCACCTTCCTTGCTATACTCCATTCAGGAGGCCATGTTAAATTCATGTGAAGATTATCCACAACAGTGACTGCTAAAAATCACTTTGATCCTAGTCTACCATTGTGTTGCTTGCAGGGGCTGGCCAGCTGGCAACACAGAGCAGGCACAGGGAGTGACGGAGGAGGGGGAGGGGAGGGGGTTTTAGGGTCCACCTTCCAGCTCTGCCCTGGCTGTCTGCAAGGGAGGAGGCTGCACACCCACTCTTTGTCTCCCACATGAGGCAGCAGCTGGTGGGGTGAGGGCCTCCAATTAGTCTGGTGCCAAACTCAGCAGCACTTTATTTTATATCGGTGTACCTTATGCCAAAGCTCACAGTGACGGCTGCTCGGAAAGGACAGGCTAAGGTACCAGTAGTGCTGCTTTAATTCTTCTAATCTGAAGAAAATGGCAACATGAACTGCAATTCATTTGATGTAAAATATATATCATGGGTGATATGATCATTAAGGTGCTGTGATTCTATAAAATTTTGTTTTCCCATTTAATGATTTAAATGAGATTTATTGTTTTGGTTAGAAGGGAGTAGGACTTCTCCTTTAAAAGGGTGATATCCATTATACTGTCTGGCAATGGAGAGCTAATCGAGCAGACACAAGTGTGCTGCTTTCACAGTGGAGCCTGATTAATTTTTAACAAAGAATGCCCAGCTATATGTGAGAGCCAGCCATCTCTGCAGTAAATTTATCTGAATGTGTGGGGGGTAGCAGCTCCTCGCAGGCAACCTGCTGTGAAGCCATGTGTCCACCAGACACGTTAGAGACCACTTTTGACCACAGACTGAAAACGCCATCTAGCCATTGTGATTGGTATTTGCCTGCGGTTCAATATATTGTAGGTTGTGGTTCTTTATCATTTTAGAGGAAGCTGAAAGAACTGGGATTACTATTTCAGGCAAAAAGTCAAATATTTTATACTATTATAATATATATATATATATAGTATATATAGTATATATATATATATATATATACTGAATATTATATATCTCCTGCGTCTGTGTCATTCTTCCATGTATAACAGTATGTGAGACACGCTGAGGACACTTACCCCATGCAGGGGTTCTGCAGAACACCCATGATCCTCTGGATCCTGTCCATGGCCACGCTCTCCTGGAAACTGCTGAGTCCTGGAAAAGAAGAAAGTTGTACCATGAGCCACGTGAACTGTGTTGACTGTGAGCTGAGTCTGTGGAGCATATGGGCTGTGTGAAATGTGAACAGGCTCCCTGCCTCTGTGGCCAGAAAGTGTTGGGTCACACAAGGTCTGGGCTTGACAAAGATCCCAAATTAAGTAGTTCTCAGAGCCTGTCTGAACATGGCGTTATCTGCCAGAGACCCGCATAATGCCTATCAGACAACTCACAAACAGCAGCTGCTTTACTGGAGACTGTGATACAGTATGTTCTCACTCACCTCTGCCAAGCAGCTAATTTACAAGGAAGTCTGAAGTGTGACACTTGTTCTCAACTGGTAAAAAACCAACATGTGTTTTTTAACTCTTAAAAAGGGGTAATTTTAAAACAGCGCCGTTGCTAAGTGAACCTTTCCCCAAATTTGCTCCATTATAAAAAGGCACACACACAGGAAATACTTGTGGTTACTTGATAGTCCTACAACAATACATGTTTCAGACATCTCTTTCTCAAATCTCAGGGACACATATTCCATAAAGAGTGGCACGCTGTCTTTCCAGTCTATTGTTTTTCTTTAAGCAGAAGAAAGACAGGAACAGGAGAGACAAACATATAGACAGAGGTGTAGACTCAACTAACAAATGGTTGTGTTAAACAGTATGAATCTAGTCATGTTTTTCTAAAGACAAAAAATAGGAAAGATATTAAATGGCCAACTTACGTTCTCTGTATCTCCCTGAACGAAGGCCATTCAAGATAGATGACAGTGGATGAATGTAGCACCGTAGCTCCATGCACTGAAAATAAATTAGAAAAGATTATAGGTGATATATTTCTGCAAAACATGCTTAAAAACCTTTTCAACAGCTGATATCGAACTGGCTTCCACAAACTTGTTATTTTATTTTAATATATAGTTGCTCAACATTATTTAGATAACACCTAAACTGTCATGTTGATTCACTGAGTTTAATTTATGATAGACCGACTCCAGTTCTTCAGAAAAGCATGACTAATTCTGCGTGTACAGTTTAAGAGGAAGATCATCTTTACTGGAACTGTCATGCGTGAGACACTGTAAAACCAGCAGCGAGTCAATATAGGTGATAGGGCACGCTCTAGTTTTGCTGACACTGTCAACCACCTCCTGTGGGTAACAGACATCCAATCTCAGAGGTGCTTACCTTACGGCTGAAAATTCGGCTTTTCTCTGACACGTTGGAAATGAGCTGCCGTTCCCTGCACTCCTCCTCCATGGAGCCGCGAGGTCTCTTCAGTGCTTGCTGAGTGTTTTTGCCATTCGTTTTTTCTCCTTGTTGTGTTTTACACAGTCCAATGGTGCTGTCCCATGTCTCCGTGCAGCCAGGGGGAGATCCCCGACTGGAGGCCTCCCTGACCTCGCTCCAGTTACTGACGCCCTCCTTCACCTCGCCGCTCCGGCAGCAGCTGCTGTCAGATGGACCCAGGTGTGGCGGGGTGCTGGGGGATGGAGCAGACTCTGTCTGGCTGTGCTTTCTGGTACAGTCAAACTCCTGTTCGCTCTCATTGTCCTCATAGTCACTAGCCAGCCAGTCAATGGAGTTGTCCGAATCTGTAGCAGACATCCTCGGCTGCAGGCTCTAACTAGCACTGACCATCACTGACCTGACAGACAGAAAGTCATAGTTAATATAATTCAACAATAAACAAAAAAATAGAATAAAATTCAACAGTGAAAAGCAGCCGGCAGCACAGTAATGAAGATGAGAAACTATAGCTAGAAGCTAACATATTGGAGCAGCCATATCAAAGCTTAGGTATATGCAGTAGGAGACAAAATACCCTACTGAAGTGTCCTTGGACAAACACAGCAGGTTAGTCTGGATAAAAAAAACAACCCTGCACCTCCAACCAAACAGGCATGAATAAATGGAGAGACACAGCAGAGCAGATGGTGGCAGTGAGACAACAGTTGTTGAGACCACAATGACCTGTTTGTTTTGCAGATGCAACACCTGAGCCAGTAAACTAGCCACCATCAAAAGCAAACAGCCTCGTGTCCACAGCGATCTTGAAATCTTTTGTCTCTCGCAGTTACTGTGACTATAAATCTCCACATCACGACGTCACACTACAACAAATATCTTACATTTCTTACATTTTACAATCGCCAGCTGGACTCATTTCCCCCCATTTTGGTTCTATAAGCTGGTTCCTGCCAGCTGCTACCACCACAATCATTCATAAACATTGTTAGCTTGTTTATTCAAAGGGGGCAGAGGTCTGCCACCATGACGACCAGTGCCCCACACTGCGGACCTCCCATCACAAGTGACACTTGTTTTTTACAAAATGAGAGACTGCTTGTTCACAACATGCAGAATGCCTCGTGAATAAAAACTCCTCTGACCAAATGCTCTTCACGGATGCTTGATTTCTTAGGATCTTTGCATCTCTTCAACATGTGTTTCCTCAGCGATTAGTAGGTAAAAGGAAGTGAGAACAGCATCTTTGGCACAGGGATTAGTTTTGGTGTTTTGAGTGCTTAACACGTGGCAGGTCTCTCATCTCCTGTGAAATCTTAAATACTTGGATGTTTCCGTTTTGCTGGTTATAATGTGGCTCCTTGGGTAGCAGACACCACAGTTAACCGGTTTTAGTGAAAACAAAACGACGTGCAAAAGAAGATGTTTGTGCAGTGGTCAGGCGATCGCACACACAGGGGGAACAGCTGTAATAAAATACTGAGTGGATTTTATAGCCAAATGTTCAGAGCATGGAATTATACAGTATCAACATTCAAGATCGCATCAAAGAGTTCAAACTAATATGTAGCTGCTGCTGTTTTAATATTCAATCCCAGGTGGTGCTTTAAAAACACAAGTATAAAGCAACACACAACGGTAAAATATGGTAAACGTATAACTCCTTATTATAATCTACTGTGTATTAAATTAAAACCTGTTTCCAGTTATTACTCTAACTGTAATATTAAATAAATCTTGATAAAGAAATAACATTTTATCTACTTAAAGCTTAAGTCTGTGCAAAGAAACTTTTGTTCAATATCACACATCACATATATCTTATTATATCCTGGCATACATCCTGTAATACAATAATCTTCTAAGTCTTCTATAAGCAGAATTCCTACAACCATATTCTTAACTCAATTCAGCTGAACGGATATGGTATAAAGTGAGTGCCATGACTTCCTTTTAGCATTAGTTTATACAGTTAATTCTGTCATAAAACAACACACACATACCACACTTGCTCAAATACTCTCCTGTCCCGGGCCTTTGAATACACCACACACAGGCCTGCAGTGCAGTGTTTTCGGACATAAATTCAAATAGCTGCTGCACTACTGATAACAGCTTCTAGATACACATATGCTTTTATATGACACACATTTCTCTCTGATAAAATACACTCGCACCAGATAGCCTTTATGAGCTCCCTGTCCCTATGTGTGGAGGTGCGGCACACGAACAGAGATGCCCTCCACTTCACACACACACTAATTTAAGAAAACGACGAAAAAAACGAATTAAAAGAGAGTAATTCTCTCCACCCAGAGGATCAAACATTACAATCTTAACCCCCCTCACATGAGAAAAATCAGATAATGATAAGGTGAATGATCCGACCCACCCGCCTACAGTAAATGCAGGTTTCACATCAGCTGGGTAACAGACACAATAGACTTCCTCGTCAGTCATAGTAAATGCATCAGCATGCACTGTTAGATTATATAAAACCAACCAACAAACAAAAACGGACAGAAAGGAAGAATTATCATTACCACGCCTTTATGTGTCATGTCACATCATTAATCCCTCACACACACAAATAAATGTTTATATGCGATCCTGTCTGCGTCAAATTCCTCTGGAGGATTTTTAAAAATAAAATCACACACACATACTATATACATATAGGCTATATACATTTTTTTTTTTAAAAACCCAGTGAGGTTTTATTTCTGTGAGGATAAAGATGTGGATGAGCGATGAGCGGCACCTACCTTCCCAGGATGGAGCGGCTGGTTTTAAACTCTCTCCCCGTTGTTCAGCGGTAAATCCAGCAGGACCGTCGGGCTGAGAGCAGCTGATGTGTTGGACGTGCGCTGTGTGAGTGTGGGGACACGATGCAACCAGCGATCGGCCCCGTGTTGCTTCTCCCAAGGCAACGTGTCTGGGAGGGCGGGACTAGCGGGGGCAGGCGCTCCCATTTGCTGCTCCGACGCCCCCGATCGACGAATCGGCTTCTGCCGTCCGTGCAGCCGCGGAGCGATAGGCGAGCCCGGTTTATATGCAAATGACATGGAAATGTCACAAACACGTGGACACGCGGATCGGTTTCATTTCAGCAGCTGGGCAAAAAAAAAAAAAAAAAA